GATAAGAAGGGCATGAGGGAACAGCTTTCTACTCTGAAAAGTGGTATTTATAGTGTATATACTAAGTTAATATTGTGGCAGGACACATAATTTTTGTGTTGTTTTTTTATTTAACTACAAAACCAACACACATTTCTCTGGAGCTCCTCTATGGCTTTCTTACAAGTCCTACATGTGTCCCATGTGCTGTCCCAGAAATAAACTAGGAAGCTTAGAGGAAATCATAATTATTTTTCCCTGTGCATACTTAATATGCAGTATTTTGCTTTAATGACTTGTGTGACTTGGATCTTTTCCAATCCATTCTTTCAGTGTAGTTATGGGGATGCTCCTCAGAAGCTATTTGCATTCAAGTTTTCAAAAGGTAATTTTTTCCACAGTATTTTCTTTTGTGGGGGGAGAACTAGAGGTGGTATTCTTTAATACATGTGTACAAAATCTGATTTTTTTCACACAGACCTAAAAACAAAGGGAATTTATTCAAAATTAAAAAAAAATTTTTTGAGTGAGATTAAAATTAGTTTGATTAGCAGTAGGAAGGAGACTGTGCAACGAAATGTATGCAACTGTTTTTCATTGAGTTCACAGTCTGCATGAATTCCTATTGTCACTGTTTTAGACACCAACTTTGTGCTGTCTGAGATTCAATTGTCACAGAATCTGTACCTGCAAGTCATCACAGGTGTCTCCCCTTGCGTAACAAAATGGTGCAGAACAAACACTTAATACAATAATTCTTGGCTTCAGAACAAGCACTTAATACAATAGCTCTCAGCTGCCAAACCTTCAAATACTTTGAAGCATCAAAACTTTTAGCTACTATCACAGAAATATCATTCAGAGCAATTCATGGGTAGGTTCATAGTAGCTAGGGTCAGGAGGGACCTGAACAGATCGTGTAGCCTGACCCCCTGACACAGGCAGGAATGAATGCTGGGGTCACAAGACCCCAGACAGGTGATCGTAGCCAGCCTGTGGTGTGGACAGAGCACAGTGCCAGCTGGGCAGCCAGTGCTTCGGCTGACAGCCAGCCCAACTGAGCAGGGTCCAGGAAGTGACCCAGGCAGGTGGTGTGTGCCTTGATTCAAGCACATGAGGATGCTGCACTGTTTTTAGGTGGGTATAACACAATTGGAAATAACAAAGTCTTTAATTTGTGGTGGTGTGAGATGAGAACCAAGCTGATTATGAGAAAAAACCTGGAACTTCATATCAGGAAAAGGGAGACTTATCCAAAGGAGAAAACCTATCTGAAAGTGCAAGCAGTCCAAAAGAAGTGAGGTATAGGGGTTTTTTTGTTGCTCTCACCAGGATCAGCAATATCACTTTAATCTTCCTCTGACATTTCCTAGTCTAGTGACATGAGTGGTAGATTCAGTTGGGCAGGTATATCCCATGCCTGTATAAATTGTGTCCTTTCAAGAGGCAGCCATGTAGAATGGTGGGAGAAAAGCAGAACCAGGTACACATTTGGTACCAGAGCAGAATGCAAAGCTGTGGAGACAGATTGTGAATTGCACGTCACTGCAATGTCCTGTGGTTTACAACAGTGGATCTCCTTTCTGACAAATCCCAAGAGATTGCGTGGCAAGAGAGAAGATGAGGGCACAGATTCTTACCTCTACCTTCCCTTGTGCTACTCCAGGGCCCTTCTCTATACCTAGATCCTGCTGCCTAGCAGCCCTCTGTGCCTCTAGTAACAAACACAAAAAAAAATCTTTGTAGATGAGGAAACAAATAATTCTGCTCCTCCAGCATTTGTCCAGAAGATTAGAGTTCATTCACTTGTTTATGCAGTGCATTCCTTCTTCAGGACAGTGCAGCTGTCAGGTTACTAAGGATGGGTTTGAAAAAGCAACAGATTAGAATTCATGAGCTTAACCAGTCCATCTTTTTTTCCATGATATCATGTACCATTAAACAGTTGTGCAAGAAAGTAATTAGAGGCAAGTCTAAACACAAGGAAATGGAGATTGTCCTCAAGAATAGAAGATTTATGCTATATTGATTCCGTTGTGCACGTCTACACTAGATGCGCCATCGCTGTAGCACCAAGCTGTCATCGTAAGCAAGTACTAAATGACTGTGCAGTAATAACTGCACAGTCCGGTGCCCGTGTAGATGCACCCACTGAGTACCATCTCAGACTGTATTTGACAAAAGCCACATTTACACTCTACTTACTTTCCTCTTATGCCAGTTAGAAAAATTTATTAAGGTTGCGGTTTTTAGAGTGTATATAGAATTTAGCCCCATATCATCCCTTCACTCTAAAATAGTCTGGGATCTTGAAATGCAAAAAAAAAAAAAAAAAAAAAAAATCTAATATTCTTTCACAAAATATTTTACATCAGGTTATAAATAAGAGCAACAAGCTCTTTCAGGGTGTGTTTTCTTTTGTCACTGTCTAATGCTTCAGTCTCTGGGATGACAAATATCTTCTAAACTTGCATCTGTGAGGTTTTGTAGGTGTGGTAGTAAAATTGGAATTATCGGCACTCCACCTTGTTTATTATGAGTGTTTAGTGGACTTTCCTGCTGTTTGTTTCCCTCTTTGTGGTCCAGATTTGCACAATAGCCTTTGATTGGCCCAACTATTTTGTTGTCAACCTTCACACATACAAGAAAACAAAAGGATTTGTATGTTTGTCTTTGCAATTAAATTGTGCAAGAGAGTCCGCCTTTCATCTGGATAACTTCAAAATGCTTAGATATCAGTCAGGAATTTGCCATCCAAGGGCACATCCCTATGAGCAAGAACATGCATTTCCCCAGGAACAAACAGCAGGAGCGAAATAGATGCCTCTGCTACTTGTCCCCAGAGAAACCCTGTGCATGTGCCCTGCTGGCACGTGGCACATTGGCCCAGACCAGCACCTGAGCCGGCTTCAGCAGCTTTATTGGGGATCCTGGGAACCCTGGGGGCTGCAGCTGTGGTGATCCTGCAGCTGCAGCTGCCCAGGCTCTAGTTTTGGGGGGTGCATGCTGCCGCTCCGTGTGTCACCCCACGTTTTTTAGACGTGGGGTTTTTTTTACATTGGGATCTCTTGGTGTCAACCCCCCTGCCCTCCATTGCAAATTAGCAGTGCAGGCAATGCCTATACATATGGTGTATGGCACCACAGGGTGCTTGTACACATGATGGAGGTTTAGTTCTCCCTAAATTGAAATGGTGGGTTTTTAATTGTGTCGTTTAAAAACCCACTGTTTTCAATTTAGAGACTTCCGTGATGTCACAGTGTATCTTAGCCCACCGTCACCTTGCCTACCTTCTCCTCCTCCCCCCACTGCAGGCTGTACCAGAAAAACAGTGGTGAGGGGCCCAATCCTTTCCCCCCCTTCCCCAGAGACTATCTGTCTCTCCCATGGCATGGAGGGGGTGGTGAGCTGCTAGTGGGCATTACTCTTTTATACAAGTTCCCATTTATTTTTGCTTGAGGTACCTTTCTGAGGTTTCAGGGAACCACTGTATTTGTCTTCCTCTTTAAGTTAGCACTGAAACTGTACTCTTTTAGAAGGAAGTCATCAGGGTCTTACATTAATTTTTTGCTCTTTCTATGTCTCTCTTTTTTGCTCTTTGGGTAAATCTCTTTAACAGTTAAAATCTTTTACAAGGAGTAGCTTTTACAGACAGGCTAAAGCAGCGTGTTTAAGCTCTGTTCCCACATAGGTTAATGGCAGAACTCTCATGGCTCAATCTACAAAAGGGCTTAGTTGTTGCAGTGCTTAACAGCGGAGTGCTTTAAACTTACAGACTATTGGGCATTCTGGCATGGGGCTCACCTAATCCTCACTGTTGAATTTATTCCACTTTACCTGGGCAAAGACAAAACATTACTCAATAGCCTACTGGTTAAGGTCTTCACCTGTGAAGACATCAGCTCCTGCTCTAATAAACATGTGAGTTCAGTAGAGGAATGCCCAGGTTGGAGCTCCTGATAGTTTTGGGGCATGAATTAGGTATCTACCTGAATAGCTCTGTCAAGACTCAGGCCATTGTGGGCACGCCCTGAAGCAAACATTTAGGTACTTTCAGAACTTTCCTGGGAGAAATGTAAGTGCCTACTGTACAAATGTGTCTACAGGGCAATTCACTAGCTGGATTGGGATCTTAAGGATCTAAATTTTGAATTTATGGATTTAAGGTTGCAATTTAGCACCTAGACTCTTTTGTGAATCTAGCATTAATTGATTTCACTTGAGAGGAGGTTCAGGACCTGACCTGCAAAGGATGACTTTAATTAGCTGCCCTTCTGAATGCTACTTTTGATTGCACCCATTTTGCTGGGTTTTTTACAAACATGTAGTGAAAGACAGTCTATGTTCTGAAGAGCTCACAATCTAGATGGACATGATGAACAAAAAATGAGAAAAATGTAAGTATTGTTCCCCATGCATATGTAGGAAAATGAAGCACAGAGAGATTGACTGTAGCTACGCTGTTCTCAGTGGTGGCAAATGACAGAACAAACAACAATGGTCTCAAGTTGCAGCAAGGGAGATTTAGGTGGGATATTAGAAAAAACTCACTAGGAGCATGGTAAAGCATTGGAATGAGTTACCCAGAGAGGTGGTGAAATCTCCATCTTTGGATGTTTTTAAGCCCAGCTCAACAAAGCCCTGGCTGCAATGATATAGTTGGGGATGGGCCTGTTTTGAACAGGGGGTTGGATTAGATGACCTCCTGAGGTCCTTTCCAGCCATAGTATTCTATGATTCTATTAAGGACTGCATCTAAAAAGGAACTTAAGTACCTTCCCCCCTACACATGGAAAGAGGAATCCTGGGCTATGACTTTTATACTTCATTAAGACTGTGAAGATCCTCAAAATGGGATCCAAGACAGCTAGACCAAGTAGATAAGGGAGCGATCTACAGCAGGGATTGGCAATCCATGATCTGCCTCCTGGACCTTTAGATCCAGGCTACTAAGCTATTGGCTTCAGCTGTATTTAGCAGTGGGAACTCTGCCTACTCTGCATTGCAGCTGGGGTGTTTGGAGGTTTGGTAAGTGGGGAGTTCTCCCTGCTCCAGGAGGCAGGGGGAAGTGGCAGAAGTGACTGGGTCCTGCTTTCTTCAGACCCAAGCTAGGTCATTCCAGACCTCACCAGAAAATATTGCTGGCCCCTGGTTTAGAGCTAGGAAATGGGATATGCCTAGGATAGAGGTCAGTCACAAATGCTGCCCCTCTCTGGAGCTTCGATGTCTTCCTCTGCTTGGAATCTACAACCTGGAATCTTCTCTAAAAGGTAAGGATATAAGTCTTTTTTATTATTCTGCCCCTTCCCTCTTCTATCTGCGCAAATTCTCAAATACTCAACCAGGAGGCAAACCCAGGTACAAGCCCCTCTTCTCTTCCAACCAAATCCACTTGAAAATTTTCACTATGACCCAAAGCCAACTTTAAGACATGAATAAATGGATTTTATTTTAGTTTTACTTGGTGTTCCAAAATTCTTAAAGTTATCTTCCAGGTGTATTGTTATGTTGGAAGTGAGAAAGGGTTGCATCTACTTAGAATCATAGAAAGTTAGGGTTGAAAGGGACCTCGGGGGGTCATCTAGTCCAAACCCCTGCTCAAAGCAGGATCATCCCCAACTAGATCATCGCAGCCAAAGCTTTGTCTAGCCAAGTCTTGAAAATCTCCAAGGATGGAGCTCCCCCCACCTCTCTGGGTAACCTGTTCCAGTGTTTTTCTACCCTCCCAGTGAGAAAATTCTTTGTAATATCTAACTTAAACTTCCCTTGCTGCAACTTGAGACTCTTGCTCCTTGTTCTCTCATCTGCCACCATGAGAACAGTTTAGCTCCATCCTCTTTCAAACCCTGCTTCAGGTAGTTGGAGGCTGCTATTAAATCTCCTCAGTCTCCTCCTCTCTAGATTAAGCCCAGGTCCCTCAGTCTTTCTTCATGCCAGCTCCAGAACCATTTTCTTGCCCTCTGCTGGACTCTCTCTATTTTGTCCACATCCTTTCTGTAGTGAGGGGGGGGGGCAAAAGTGAACATAGTACTCCAGATGTGGCCTCACCAGTGCTAAGTAGAGCAGAATAATAACTTTCCTTGACCTCCTGTCCTGGCAACACACCAACCAATGCAGCCCAGCATGCCATTAGCCTTCTTGGCAACAAGGGCACACTGCTGGCTCATATTCAGCTTATTGTCCACTGTAACCCCCTAGGTCCCTTTCTGCAGGGCTGCTGGCTAGCCAAATGGTCCCCAGTCTGTAGCAGTTCATGGGATTGTTCCATACTAAGTGCATGACTGTGCACTATCCTTATTGCACCTCATGAGATTTTCTTTTGGTCCAATCTTCCAACTTGTTTAGGTCTCTCTGCATCCTAACCCTACCCTCCAGCATATCTACTACTCTCCAACCCCCCCCCTAGGGTCAGAAGGGACCTCAGTAGGTCATTGAGTCTGACCCCTGCCCTGGGCAGGAAAGAGCACTGGGGTCAGATGACCCCAGCTAGGTGCTTGTCCAGTCTCCTCTTGAAGACCCCCAGGTTAGGAGAGAGCACCAACTCCCTTGGAAGCCCATTCCAGATTCTGGCAACCCTTACTGTGAAGAAGTTCTTTCTAATGTCCAACCTAAATCTGCTCTCCATCAATTTGTGGCCATTGTTCCTAGTTACTCCAGGGGGTGCCCTAGTAAATAGAGCATCTTCTATTCCCTGTTGACCTCCCCTGATGAATTTATAGGCAGCCACAAGATCACCCCTCAGCTTTCTCTTGCGAAGGCTGAAGAGATCTAGGTCCCTCAGTCTCTCCTTGTAGGGCCTTGCCTGGAGGCCTCTGAACATGCTAGTGGCCCTCCTCTGAATCCTCACAAGATTCTCCACATCCCTCTTGAAGTGCGGTGCTCAAAACTGGATGCAGTACTCCAATTGTGGCCTGCCCAGTGCCACATAGAGGGGAAGCATCACCTTCCTGGACCTGTTTGTCATGCATCTGCTAATGCATGATAAAGTGCGGTTAGCCTTGTTGATCACTTTGTCACATTGATGATTCATGTTCATCTTGGAGTCAGCTATGACTCCAAGATCCCCTTCTGCTGCTGTGCTGCTGAGAAGGTCATCCTCCACCCTGTAAGTGTGTTGGTGGTTATTTTTGCCTAGGTGCAGCACTTTGCACTTATCTCTGTTGAACTGCATCCTATTTTGTTCTCCTCATTTTTCCAACCTGTCCAGATCTACCTGGACCCATTCCCTACCCTCTGGTGTGTAAACTTTGCCCCATAATTTGGAATTATCTGCAAACTTGGACAAGGTGCTTTCCACACCCTCGTCCATGTCTCATACTTAGGATTAAAAAAAAAAAAAAATCTAATATTAAATTCCTAGCAAAAAGAATGCATTTAAGGTTCTGAAAAAGCGTACGTTCAAGCTCCCACCAAGCTATATGGGGAAGTCTCTGATTATGCTTATTATCCTCTGTTAATTCAACCAGTGCCCTGAAATGAACAGTTTCATATAACATTTCAATATCATAGAATCCTAGAGAAGCAGGGCTAGAAGAGGCAAAACTCGTGACATGGGCGCTTGTGGGACTGACTGTCTCTATCTTGGGGCAGAAGGAATTCCTGGCTCTGTATTGATTCTTTCCTCTCCTTAGTCTGTGATTTTGTAGGTGTTAATCCTTGCTTGTTAACTTGTTATCTAGTAGCTAGCTACTGTGTATTGAGCTGATCACTGAGTGAATCATGATTGATTGGTAACACAGTAGCCTAGCAGCCAGGCCTGCAGTAGCTTCCCCCACGCCCCCACCCTCCACCCGCCTCCTTTGTGCCCCAACACTGACACAGGCCCACAAGCACCCATGTCACGAGTTTTGCCTGTTAGCAGCTAGAAGTGCAGGGCCCCAGAACCCCTGCACCTATCTCTTTGACAGCTGGCAGGCTTCGTGGCTGCAGCAGGGCTACCATCCCTGCAGCTGTCACCCTGCTGCACCTTAACGCACAGTATCACACATGTCACGAGTTTTGCTTATTCGCAGCTTGAGGTGCAGTTCCCTCCAAACCCCTACACTGATCTTGAAACTTGGCAGGCTTCATGGACTCTGCAGGGCCTACCATCCCTGCAGTTTTGACCCGGCTGTGGCTTAATACATACACATGACATGAGTTTTGCTTTCAAGAATTTGGGGTGCAGTTTCCCCCAAACTCCTGCACCTATCTCCTTGAAACTTGGCAGAATTTGTGGCCTCAGCAAGAGCTACCATCCCTGCAGTTTTCACCCCACTGTGGCTTAACATACACACGTGACATGAGTTTTGCTTTCAGGACTTTGAGGTACAATTTCCCAGAAACCCCTGCACCTATATCCTTGAAGGTTGGCACACATCATGTTCTCAGCAGAGGATATCATCCCTGCAAGTGTCACCTGAATCAGACAAAAGACGACAAAGTTATAGATGTTTCATTGATTCCCCATTATACGCTATGGCCGAATCTCTGAATCTTTTCCGAATCAATTCAAAAGTTCCGAATCAAGTTGGAAAGCCTAAAGCTTCCAGCGATTCGGTGTCAAATCTATGAATCTGAATCCGAATCATCTCCGAATTCAAATCATGATCCAAAGCTTTGCACAGCCCTAGTTACTAGTAGTGGATGTCAGGAAGTGAGCCAAAGTCAAACCAGGTTCCAAAGTTCAGAGACTGGGTACACAGGCAGGAATGTAGGAGCAGGCACCAGGGAAGTCACAGACAAGAGTTACACAGACTGAGGTCAGTTTGTTGCACAGCAAGGGCTAGGTGCTGCAATAGCTCTTTAAGAGCAGCCCTGGAATCGGTCAACAGGCTCAGGCTCAGCTGACCCTGCTTGTGTGTTGCAGACCTGGTTGTCATGTCACACATGCATGGCCGGAGGTGTAATTTTGGGATTGGGGGATCAGATCCCAATCATGCCATTACTACTTGCCAGTGCAGGGGAGGTTGTGATAATAATCCTAGCTTCCCTTGCACTAATAAGTTTAGATAGGGGTGCATCCCCACGTGCAGGGATGACAATCAGTTGAATGTTGGCCTCAACCTGGGACAGTCCCATGTACAGTTCCACCAGGGTTGTCAGGGCAGACAAACAGATGATTGGCCAAACTCTGTGCCTAGCATTTCTTGCTGGGCTGCCAGGTGCAGGAGATCAGTGGCTCCTGTAAACCCCACACAGACCAGGCACAGAATTTAAAGACCACATAGGGGGAAGCCCTTGGCCCCCTCACACATGTTAAATTTCAGATGCCATACAAACTAGCCATAAAAATGTTCTGTGCACCACTTTATGGTGCCATTTTATAGTGTCTTAAATCATGTGCAAGTGTAGCATTCTTCCTATTTATGCTGCAATTAATGTGTTAATTGCAGCATAAATGTAACCTATAGAGGTAACCTAAAAAGCATAAAATTATAGAAATGGAATAAACATCTAAAATAAGATATAAAAAAATAAACTTTCCCCCCAAACTCCCCCAAATTCAAAACAAATCCACCAGCTTTTCCCCCTCCCTTGCCCCTTGACTCAGGAGAGCATTCCTCTTTGCAGCCAGCATTTAATAATGTAAAATATTAGTTCATTTGGATGGCAGAGCTAGGGACTGTGGGGAAAATATATATTTTCTAATATTGGTACTAAAAATTTCACCCTTAGTCTAATGATGAACAGTGTTGTTGACTTCTGGTTAACTAGGAATGTATGTATTTGATAACAGAACTATGGTTTGAGGTATGCAGTGCTTGATTTTCATGTTGTATCAGGTGATAAACTTGTTCATATATTTCAATAAAAAAATAAACTACCTATACTGAGATGTAGAGATCTGCTTTAGTTATACATTATCTTCAGTATCATCTACTTGTAATTTTTAACAATATTGTATTAACAGGTACATTCTTTAACTGCTACATTGTTCAGCTAAAACATACCAAGGAAATGAATTGCCAACACAATAGTACAGAGTGTTCTGTACTTTTTTCTTCCTTAAGAAAAATTAAAAAAAAAAAGTAATGGGTGATTTAGTTTGTATTGTATGATGCTTAATTACTTAATATTCATACCTTGAAAGAAATTCCTGCCACTTACTTAAAAAATAACATTGTAAATGACATTATAAAGATATGTATGTCATGCATCACCAAAATACTGTACCAGTCCAGAAGGAAAACTCAAAGAAGTAACACAAAATGCAGTTGTAATGATTTTATTAGCTGTTTTGCTTACAAAGAACATAAGCTTGCACTATATAAAAGTAAACAGATTGACT